TGTTGTTTAAGCCACTCAGTTTGTGGTACTTTGTTATAGCAACCCTATAAAGCTAATACACTGGGTTAAATAAAATATATTTTTAAGTTAATTTTACCTGTTGTTTTTTACTTGAAAAAGAAATCACCTCTTGAAGGAGGCCCCGACTCTTCCATTTTCAAATACCCACTAGAACAAACATATGGGTTTCTGAAAAAATCATACAATCCCATTTTAAACGAAAGCAACAAACGTACTCCTTAATGTGTGGCATGGTGGCTAAGGTGGTGTGGACTTCTACTGTTCAAGCAGTGAGAATGGAATTAAACTCCCCATACTGTGAGGGAAGGGACACCTTTTCCTGCCTTCATAGCTGGGAGGGTGGATTGCTACAACATGAGGAGCTGTGAGAAGGACATCACAGTCAGGAATTACAGTGGAGGTAGTAGCACAAAAATCTGGGAGAGTAAATCATTTATTTGTTTCTCAGCAATTTTTTTTGTTTTTGTTTTGAAAAAGAAAATGGCTCACCTAATCCTATTTTGTTTAAACAAATATCAAAAGGAATGAGATAAACCCTCAGTAAAATTACGTAAGTTAAGTGCTTTTTGTTTCCATTGTTCCAGCCCTTCCATGAACTCCCATCTCCCTTCTCCCTGGCCTCCTCCGTCATTGGCACAAGTTCTCAGTACTCTGGGTCTCTAACTCCACCGATGAAACTCCTAGCCTGAGAAGCTGATTCTAAGGTGTTGATAATCTTTTCTACTAGAGAAAAATGTTGGTAGTAAGAAAACAAAACCCACTCAGATCAGATTAAAGAAAGTCTGATTGTAAGCATATAAGAGGAAACCTCGAAGACAAGAAACAAAGTGTGATCGCGAGCTGACTAGAAATGAAACTGGAAGTGGTTTGGGGAAGCCAGAACCTGAAGACATGACCATTCACCCAAGTCTGCTTTTCTCTCTACTTCTCTATGGTTTCAACCAATCAGTGCTGTGTTCTCTCGCTCTCTCCCCTTCCCTTCCTCCCTTCCGTCCTCTCACCCTCTCTCAGATGGCTTTCTTTGCTTGTGCATGACCTCACAGGGTCTGACTCTATACGATCTTTCATCATCACCTAAAGTCTCTGTGCCTCAACTTAATTTAAAAGACAGAGTGATGAGTCATTGGTCCTTTCAAAGAACTCGCTCCTCCTTGGGCAATGCTGCACGTAGCCTGAATTGAGGTGGGGAAGAGGCGAAGGAATTAGGAGAGAGCTTCGTCATCCTGGAAGATTTGGAGCTGCTGCTTCTAGCTATGAGCAGGGCAAGGGAAGTGGAGCATGTGTATGAGGTATCTATTGACATCATCTGTCGACAACAGATGCTGGCATTACCTATATTTTCCCTAGGCTGTGGCTATTGTATTTGGATGTATAGTAAAAGTTACTGCAAAACTTCTATGTGTGTGATTTTATAAATATTAGAGGGATCATCCCCATTAGGGATGGGATGATTTTTTACTTTTTAAAAGGTGCCTACTAGAAAATCTGAATTTATATATGTAGCTCACACTACATTTCTGTTGGACAGCACCACGCTAGAGGTATACTTAGCAACAAATCTACCCTGTCAAGCTTACCAGGAAGCTGTTTCTTCTCTAAGTCCTTTATCTGTGAAGCCTATCTACTCCACATCTCTCATTAATATGGAGAGTCAATCTCTAATTAGTAAATAGAAACTGGTATTGCCTTTGGTATTTATTTAGAACATTTTTTCACTATATGCAATCCACCTCTCACACTCTCAAGTCCTCTAGATGATATTTGGGAGAATTCTCTGCCTTTGACATGTGATTCTTTCTCCTGAACAATTGTGAATTTGCCCTTTAAATCCATGAACTTCCAGCCATAGACATTTTTGCTGTTAACATATCAACACCCTTCCATCCATCTTGATCTTTCACCTGTCCTTTACCTCCTGCCCTCCAAACACAACAGAAAGTTTTCAAGTGCAAGAAATAAATTTGGTAAGAAAGCTTTAAAGTACTTTCAAATGCTATATATTCTGGGCAGGTGACTGTATAGGATGATTGGGTTAAGCAACATGATATAATGGTCACAGTAGTTAAAAGCCAGACTATGGAGCAACAATAGCAAAAGTAGACAAATGAAACTACATCAAACTTAAAACTTCTGCACATCAGTTAACAGAGAGAAAAGATAACCTATCGAATGGGAGAAAATATTTGCAAATCATGTATCTGACTAGGGTATATATATTAAAATATATAAAGAACTCATATGACTCAACACTAACAAAAAACAGGTATTTCTCCAAAGAAGATATACAAATAGTCAACAAGTATATGAAAAGATGCTCAACACTACTAATTGTTAGAGAAATGCAAATCAAAGCCACAATGAGATATCACCTCACACTCATAAAGCTGGCTGCTATCAAAAAAGAAAACAAAGCAGAAAGTAACAAGTGTTGGCAAATATGTGAAGAAATTGGAGCCCTTGTGCACTGCTGGTGAGAATGCAAAATGATGGAGCTGTTACAGAAATCACTATGAAGATGTCTCAGATAATTACAAATTGAATTGCCACATTATCCAGCAATCCCAGTTCTTGGTATATACCCAAAAGATCTCAGAGCAAGGTATGAAAGAGATATTTGCACACTTGTGTTCATTGCAATGCTACTCACAATAGTCAACAGATGAAAGCAACCCAAATGTCCACCGACAGATGAATGGATAAATAAAATGTGGTATAAACAAACAATGAATGGAATATTATTCAGCCTTAAAAAGGTAATCCTACTATGACATGGATGAAACTTGAGGACATTATGCTAAATGAAATATGTTAGTCACAAAAAGACAAATACTGTATATTAAGCATATAAGTAGTCAAAATCATAGAAACAGAAAATAGAATGGTTGTTGCCAGGGGCTGGGGGAAGAAGGAAATGGGGAGTTGTTGAATGGGTATAGAACTTTAGTTTGTCAAAGCAAAAAAGTTATAAATATCTATTGTGCAGCAATGTGAATAGGCTTAACACTACAACCTATACACTTAAAAATGGTTAAGGTGGTTAATTATATATATTTTTTACCATGGTTAAAAAAAAAAAGACTGGGATCTTGGACAAGGCACTTAACCTCTCAAAGCTTTGGTTTCCTCATCTGTAAAAAGGACAGTCTGATCTACTGTTAAAAGAACATATGGGATGTGAACAGTTCCCAGGAATGGGCTGCTTTAATTTGTCTGATTTCTCTCAGACTGTTCAGGTACAGTTGGACAATATCCATTATATCACAGACAAATTTTCACAAATGCCTAGGGTGCCTAACTGGTTTTCTTGGTTTCACTGGAGATGGCTGGTAATTATAGATCTGCTTTGGTTATGTAACTGTATTCCTATTATGTTAATGTGTGTGCACAATTTAATTAGTAGTTTAAAACCTATACATGCTGAAGTTACT